TTGACAGGGTGCTGGCTGGTTGGCCTAATATCAAGTCAAGTCAAGTCATATTTATTTATAGAGCACAATTTAAAACAGATAGACTGTTATCAAAGTGCTTATGTGACATTCGTGGTGGGGGGGGGGGGGTGAATGGGTGGCGTGCCGGGGCTTCTCCAGGCCTGTGGTGTGGAGCTGTAGGGATGCCTGATCATTGGTGCGCTGGCCGGCCTTCCTCAGCTGCTGCTCCCTGCTGCTCTGGCCCCCGGCCGGGGCCGGCTTGCGTTCGCTGACGGGTGGGTGGGGCGCATGGACGGCCCGACAGAGGCTCTGTTGGGCTGTCTCTGTGTGCCTGTTTATTTCTCAGGTTGGGTTTTAGGTGGTCCCCTCTCTTGGATCAATTTTGGCCCCCCATTTAATGTGTCGTGCTCCCCTCCGGTGGTGGGCCCCCCTGCCGCCGGTGCATTGGTGGCTCTCAGCAGCTGGGGCTGGGTGGTGGGGTATGTGCAGGCCTGCCCTGGTGGCTGCCTGCCAGGGCCTGGGTGCCCTAGCTCTGTCGGGCCTCTGTTGGGGGGTGGTAAGACCTTGGGACTCGGGGCTCGGTGTCCATGGCCGGATCCACTCTGGAGGGGTGGGTTGCCGGCGGGGCCTGTGGACTCGTCGCTGCAGCCTCCTGGGGTTCCTGCATTGTGGTTGCTAGGGATCGCCCGAGGCTTCCCTTTGCTTCTCTCTCTGGGGGGTGCGGGTGTCCCTGTTGGGGGACTCCCGGAGTTCCGGGCTTGGGGACCGCTGTGTGTCTGTGGTTCCGGTCTTCCGGTCTTCCCTGTGTTACCTTCGTGTCCTCTGTGCGTCCCCACATCCACTATTGAACATTTTTATGGAGAAACCTTATAGTGACTAAGCATGCTCACACAGGTATTTAGATTCAGGTGTTTATCAGATACACACTCAGTTGGGTTGTGGTGGCCACTAACTATATCTTGTATTACCATGTACTGTATAAAATACTTTCTAATGATGTTATAAGTATCATTATATACGTTGTTTGCTGTTGTGGTTTCTCGGTTTTGTCTTTTTTTTTCTTTCTTTCCGCAGGTCTAGAGGCAGACTTCAATGATGTTGATTTGTGTTCTCTTTATCCCTCTCTCTCGCCTCTATTCCCATCTCCTTATTAACCTTTTAACCCTTATCTCACTTTTCTGCTTTGTTATCTTGTTTGTTTTTCATCCCCATGCCCATTACATGTGAAACAAGCCCACAGCAAATTCCAATAAAATTTAATTTATATATCAAGTGGAGCATTAAGGCCAGCCATAATGCTCTGCTTGCGAAAGTAAATCTGTTGGGCATCACTTTGACACTCAGACAATAATTCTAAGTGTCACAATGCCGGACAGGACAAGGGGAAAAAAAAAAAAGAAAAACTGTTCATGCATTTGTTCTGGTAAATCTTGTAGTGCTGTGTGTGAATACTTTTGAGATTAATTTATCTCCATACTTTCTTTCCTTAACCTTTCTTTCCTTACCATAGCCTAAAACCTTACTGTATTAATACAATGCAGGCCCCACAACAGAGGTCCTGAAGTTACTTTGGAAACTCAGAATTTTGAGTTAGTCTCTGTGCATGTTCGTGTGCAACAAAAGTTAGTTCTGTTTTCAGTTTTTCAAGTCAAATAAAAGACATACCTGAGGATATGGCTGAGGGAGTCGAACAAACAATTCAGTACCGACATCAGCATCAGCTAAAAAATAAATAAAAAAGACAATTAGAAAGAACTTTTCAAAGCAACAATAATGTGTTTTGTAAATCTTCTAAGACTAACATATAGCATGGCTAACACCATCTTTTGAGCAAACAATGTGTGTGAGTTTGTTTTTTGAGTTGGCAAAATATTTCTTGAACCTGTGGATGTTATTTTATGAGTCTCAAAGTGATCACTGGAAATACATCTACAACCGATTAACTTTTGGAATCAACCCAATTCAAGATGACCGCCACAGCTAACCTCAGTGAACACAGACAGCCATAATTCAGTCAGTATTACAGATACTACATTGAAGCAAACTTTGACATGGTAGTGGCTGAGCATCATCCCCAACATATATTTTGAGAACTAACAGACTGCAAGAAATAGTGGTTTAAAACTTTAGTGTGAAAGGCACCAAGCATTTTCTCAAAGAATACTACTTTTGTTTGTGCTGTAACTACTGCAGAATCCCTTCAATTTTGAAAGGCATCACGCAAGTACAATTAAATAAACTGATGTTTTAAAAAGTCTAAATATTTTGGATTGAGTGCTTGTTAACCCAAACATTCTGCCAAGTTGTACCCTGACCATGCACAATGCATTTGTTTCATACCAGTAGGGTGTGAAGCAGTTGACATTTCACACCCGTGCACGAATACTGGCATGTAAACATGCCAGGCACAAAGTCTCAACAGGGAAAGAGTGAAAGCTGCTTGTATGAAATACAACAAGCCGATGTCCCTCACAGCTGGACGGTTTGAATGGTGAATATTTGTATTTTCTGAGTGGTTTTCTGAACTAGAACTGAACAGGAAATTCAAGTAAACCTTAATGTTCTTGGTGCAAGGGGGAATGAGTTACACTGCATTGGGGGGTGGGGAGGGTGGGTGTAGTTTTTTCTTTTTAGTTGCTTGTCCCAGGCATCAAAGATTTACAGATTCTAATGATTTTTTTTTTTTTCATGTTAGGTTTTTTTGATTTTTCAAGTTCCTCTATTTTTACGCGTTACATTTTGGACTTTTCTTCAAGTTAAGTTTTTGCTTTTTTTCGCGTTAGGTTTTGGGTATTGTTTATGTATGAGGCTTTTTTTCGAGTTAAGTTTTGGTTAACATAGGAGTTATGCTGTCTGGGGCCATTTTAATTGCCCCTGGTAGGGTCTCCCAAGGCAGATTGGTTCTAGGTGACTGGCCAAACAAAGTGATTCCAAAGACTCTTATGGCCATGAAAAATCAAGGAACTCCATGTCCCTTGCCCAGACGTGGGTTACTAGTGCTCCACCCTGGAACCAGGCCTGGGGGAGGGGTTCGTCGACGAGCGTCTGGTGACTGAGGCTCTACCCATGGAACCTGGTCGGGCTCAGCCCGAATGAGCAACATGGGTTTGCCTTCCTGTGGGCCCACCACCTGCAGGAGGGGCCATATGAGTCAGGTGCATGACTCCATGGGCAGTGGCCGAAGGTGGGGACCTTGGTGCTCTGACCATGGTTTACCATAGCTGGCTCTTGAGACATGGAACATAACCTCTCTGGTGGGGAAGGAGCCTGAGCTTGTGCGGGAGGTTGAGAGGTACAGACTAGATAAAGTTGGGCTCACCTCAACGCACAGCATGGGCTCTGGAACCGATCTCCTTAAGATGGTCTGGACCTTATTCCACTCTGGAGTTGCCCATGGTGAGAGGTGCCGAGCTGGTGTGGGTATACTCTTCAGGTTCCAGTATACTTGTGCGTCCTGTCAGCCACACGGAAACTGTGTACACCATCTGCAGAGGGTTCAGACTTCATACGAAAATGTCCACCCTGAGCGGCTGCTGTCAGTTCCACAGACAAGGGGTGTTTACCTTCGGGACAAATTGAGGTCACCCATTGGTCATTTGCTGACACACCTACTGGATTGATTGGCAGGTCGCAAAAAAAAAAAAAGAGGGAGAGAGCTGGCAGCCCCAGCTGCAGCAGTGTTATGTGCTGTTAATAAAAAGTTCTAAAAAAAAAAACAGGGAGCACTGGCCCTGCAGCCCACCCATTAGACCAGCCCACAAGGAAATCTCCAGACCATCCCACAGGCACACTGGACATGTTTTTAATTCGCTTGTGACAAATTCCTTCATTTCTCAGATCGCTTGCTTCTTGGAAAAAACAAAACAAAAGAAAAGGCCAGATCAGGGATAAAGGAGGGAAATTTAATACATTGGTGTCACATACAAAACAGTCTGTCGCCGGGCAGTTTATTGTGCAACACCAAGTATGCATACGCGGTCGTAAAAATTGAGCTTTGCATGGACATGCCCTGCATGCAACTGCTTTGACTCTAATCCGGTACAAATGGACCTCAGCGTACCCACGTATGCACGAGTATACTAGAGGCTTTAGCCCCTCGACTGTGTGTTGGAGTTCCCCGGTAATAAGAGGATAGTTTCCTTGCACCTTTGGGTGGTGGGGACTGGCTATGACTGTTGTTTGTGCCTATCCACCGAATGGCAGTTCTGAATATCCAGCCATCTTGGAGTCCTTGGCAGGGGTGCTGGAAGATGCACCAACTGGGGACTCCTTTATTCTACTGGGGGACTTCAATGCCCATGTGGGTAATGACAGTGTGACCTGGAGGGGCGTGATGGGGAGGAATGGCCTCTCTGATCTGAACCCGAGTGGTGTTCTGTTGTTCAACTTCTGTGCTAGTCAGTTTGTCCATCACAAACACCATGTTCGAACATAAGGGTGTCCATAAGTGCACTTGGCACCAGGATGCCCTAGGTTGTAGATCAATGATTGACTTTGTAGTCATGTCATCTGATTTGCAGATGTTTGTTTTGGACACTTGGGTGAAGACTACCTGATAGTGAATTGGATCAGATGGCGGGAGAAGATGCCGGACAGACTCGGTAGACCAAAACATGTAGTGAGAGTTTGCTGGGAACGCTTGGCAGAAAAACCCATCAGAAATATCTTCAACTCACACCTCCGGGAGAGCTTTAACCACATCCCAGCTGAGGTGAGGCATATTGAGTCAGAGTGGGCCATGTTCCGCAACTTCATTTGTTGAAGTGGCTGCAAGGTTGTCCGTGTTTCTCGAGGTGGCCATCCTTGAACTCAGTGGTGGACACCCTGGGTTAGGGAGGCTGTCAAGCTGAAGGAGTCCTATCAGTTCTTGATGGCTGTTGGGACTCTGGAGGCAGCTGAGGAGTACCGGAGGGCCAAGCGGTCTACAGCCTTGGCTGTTGCTGAGGCAAAAGCTCAGATGTGGGAGGAGTTTGGCGAGAACCTGGATAACAACTCTCAGTCAGCTCCGAGGAAATTCTGACAAACCATCAGGTGGCTGAAGAGGAGAAAACGGCACTTTACCAACACTGTATTCAGTGAAAGTAGAGTGCTGTTGACCTCAACCAGTGATGTCGTTGGGAGGTGGAAGGAATACTTCTTGGACCTTCTCAATCCCACTGGCATGTCTTCTATGGAGGAAGCGGAGTCGGGGACTTTGGGTTGGTCTGTCCATAACCATGGTTGAAGTTGCCGAGGTAGTTAAAAAGTTCCACGTGGCAGGGCTCTGGGGGTGGATGAGATTCGCCCTGATTTAACTAAATTCTATGGAGGTTGTGGGGCTATCAAGGTTGACACATCTTTGCAACATCATGTGGAGATCTGGGGAAGAGCCACAGGATTGGCAGACTGGGGAGGTAGTTCCCCTCTTCAAAAAGGGGGACCGGAGGGTGTGCTCCAATTACAAGGGCATTACTCTCCTTAGCATCCATGGTAAGGTCTATTCAGGGGTACTGGAGAAGCGAGTCAGATCGTTGGTCAAACCTCAGATCCAGGAGGAACAATGTGGATTCCGTCCTGGCCGTGGAACACTGGACAAGCTCTTTACACTCACTAGGGACCTTGAGGGGTCATGGGAGTTTGCCCATCTAGTCTACATATGTTTTGTGGACTTGGATAAGGCATTCAACCATCTTCACTGTGAAGGTTGCTCCGTGAGTATGGGATCGGGGCCCCGTTGTTACGGGATGTTCGGTCCATATACAAGCGATGCGAGAGTTTGGTTCGCATTGCTGGCAGTAAGTCAGACCCCATAAGGGTAGGAGTTGGACTTCGCCAGGGCTGCCCATTGTCACAGGATCTGTTCATAACTTTTATGTACTCAATTTCTCGGTACAGCCAGGGGGAGGAGGGATTCCAGTTCAGTGGCCTCAGGATTCCATCTCTGCTCTTTGCAGATGATGTGGTCCTGTTGGCATCATCATGCCATGATTTTCAGCTCACACTGGAGCAGTTCGTAGTCAAGTGTGAAGTGGCTGGGATGAGAATCAGCACCTCCAAATCTGAAGCCATGGTACTCAACTGGAAAAGGGTGGATTGCTCTCTTCAGGTCAAATGTAAAGTTCTCCCTTAAGTGGGGGAGTTCAAGTAGCTTGGGGTTTTGTTCATGAGTGAGGGAAGAATGGAACATGAGATTGACAGACGGATTGGTGCAGCGTCTGCAGTATTGCAGACTCTGTACCAGTCAGTTGTTGTGAAGAGTAAGCTGAGATGTAAGGCAAAGCTCTCTGTTTACCGGTCAGTCTACGTTCCTACTCTCACCTGTGGCCACGAGCTCTGGGTAGTGACTGAAAGAATGAGATCGCAGATACAGGCAGTTGAAATGATTTTCTTCCGCAGGGTAGCTGGACTCTCCCTTAGAGATAGGGTTTGAAGTTCAATTATCTGGGAGAGACTTGAGCCCCTTATCCACAGGGCCTTTTTGGGCTCCTATGTATCCAGTTCAGGCCGATTGCATAGTTTCTACATTCACCGTGGCTCTCGCCGTAGACTCCACGCTGACAAGTCTAACCCCATAAACTCCATCTGGTCTGACTCTCACCATTCTACACGCCACAATGCTCGGGCCGCTAACAGTAGTAGCATGTTAGCCAGCCTAGCTCAGTCAGCTGATGTTCCAGTCGCTACCAACTCCTCCGTAATGTTTGGCCTTCTAAACGTTTGCTCACTCACTGGCAAAGGTCAG